TAAAAATTCAAATTTATTAAATTTAATTTAAATATAATACTAGTTATTAAATATATAAAAATAAAAACAAAAAACCTAAAATCAAAATTATATTAAATAAAGCCTAAATTTAAACATAATTATGTTTACTAATCTTGGGTGAAGGGAGTATTAGTCATTTCCTCAAATTGACTTTTAAGAAATCTGGAAATTGACTTCAGGATAAAAATTCCAAGTCATTTTCCTTAAAAGTACTCTGATTCTCCAAGGGAGTCGTACTAAGCATTTAGAACAAGTTTTATTAGCAAATGGTTGTGATGATTGCTTGAATTAATATTTTTAAAAATTAAAGAGTGCTGGATTCACTGGCATAACTTTTTAAATAAAAAAGATAATTATTTTTAATAAATCTGAACAAACCTCAACTATTGAAAATGAAAAAATAAATAATTAAAATTTTATATGTGACATATAAAATTTATATGTAAATGAATCTCTACTTTTAACCAATTAAAGAAAACTATAAACAGCAGTTTATAATTTTCCAAGTACACAATTTTTTACCATTTAGTAAGGGCAATACTTTGAAATTTTGAAGCACTGTTTTGATGTTCTATATCCATTATGCTTTCTTCTAAATTAAAGTGTGGCTACCCATAACTTACTTACGAAGATTTATCTCACATTTTTCTTCCTATATATCCACTATTTTAGGTAACTAGACTTGAGTCTTTGGAATTAAGGTTAGTGGTGCTCCGGTTGACTAGTTCACTTATTAATGGATTGAGATTAGATTTTAGATCATGTAAGTTATTTCTTTTTATAGACTTTAGTGGACTATTAGAAGGAATGGATTATTGCATAATATATTAGACTGGTTTTGAGCCTTATACACTTGTGAAACCCAATAAGTATATGGTGTCTATTTCGCTCCTGGTTTTGGGGTGTGATATTTAGCTAGGATTCATCCACATTAGCGCAATAAAGGGCACTCTTCTTGAAATTAATCCTAAGGTTGGATGTCAATTATAACCACCTGAAGATACACTTAAAAGCCCAAATGACCTCTTAGGATACTTCCCCTAAGAGGACCATGTCGTTGACATATTGCAAGTGAGATACTGTGAGATTCAATGGAGATCTTTTAAAAGAGGCATGATAAATATTTTTTACTAAAATGCTCCAACACACACAATTCTACAAATGGTACTCCTACACAAAACAAGTCACAAAATAACATTCAAAGAAAATACATCAACTTGCACAATTCTACACACCAACTTTATTCTTAAATTGTTTTCATTATTCTAGATTAATCTCTTTTTTTTTTTTCTAACTTCTGCAAAATATCTCCTTGCTTCTAGAATGTTGGTGATGATCGTTCGACATAATCACTCAGAATACAACAGAGACGAGTTAGTAGCACTGGCTATGTTTTCCTTTTTAAGGAAATTATGAAACCACAAAGCAGAATTCTTGAAATATCTTTGCAACCCATTAACATAGTCAACATAGGTGATGCCAGATCGGATAGTATAACCCTGACCCCACTCAAAGTTATCAAGAAATGACCAAATGAAGTAACCCCTGACATCAACTCCTTCCCTGCAAAAGTAGTTACTTATATCTTAAGCAAAAAATAAGACATTTAGAAACGTACATTCCAAATGTGAAGAATATCCAAACTAGGAAATTAGCTAGTTACTGACTTGATTGTTTGGGATAGATATGATAGATGGACACTATGATATTTTATTCTCAGGTTATCCTCGATAAAATCAGTTATTGTTGACGACGAGTTGACAACATAACCCATTCCTGTGAATGATCAAGTTTATATATTTATCTCAAGCTTCTCACAATTTAAAAGAAAAGTTAGAAATTGGATACCAAAAAAACTTACCGTTCTCTGTTATAATGGTAGTTGGACTTTTGTATCTTCCTTTTATATATAGCAAAATATCTCTAAGTCCCCATGGACAAATGTGTAGCCAACTAACACTTGTCTACAAAATTATTTTTATTAGTGGAATAATTTGATTTAAATGAAACTTAGATAATAAAAAAAAAAGATTAGAATCATGTAAAATAAATAAAAATTTAAAGATAAAAATAATAAAAGTAAAAATTGATAAATCATAATAATTTTTAAAAGCTTAGGGGAACCCGAGACAATAAGGACCCCCTAGCTCTGCCAATGGTGTAAAGTATTAATTCAATTTGAGAGCTTGTGAGAAAAGTATCTAAAGACAGTGCGCACCGATTCACAAATTGGAATTCCATTTTTCTCCGCTGTAATAGTAAAATTAAAATCAAATTAATGATTTAGGAACACGTTGCAATGCATGCTCATTATAATTTGCAAAATTATTAAGTGTCAAGTTGTTGAAGCTTACTAGAAGTATTGACGTGACTATCTGTGGTGTAGCTCAAGTTGGCACCAGTATCGTATCCAGAGTCTTCGGCGTACTCTGTAGTATAGTAGTTCACTCCAAGGAAATTAAATGACCCTTTAATCATTTCAGACTGTTCTTTTGTGAAACTGGGGAGCCGGTTCCCTATCATCTCTCGCATTATTTTGGGATAATCACCATAAACCACTGGATGAATAGCCCTTTAAAAAAAAAAAAACAATTTTAACCATTTATGCTCCTATAAAAAAAAAATAAAAAGGGAAACAGGAGGTAATGCTCTGCTAGGACAGGATCAATCAACGTTATAAGTCATTTTTTATTTTTTACTTTTTAATTAAAAATCCTAAAATTCTAAATGTTTACTGATCTTAAAACCTTAAATCATATGAAAAAAGTGAAAATTAGGATGTCCTAACATTTTAAATGTTAAGATTTTTTATGCAATTGTTCAAAGACCCTTAATAAATGCTTTATGTGTATTGATTCATTAAGGATATTCTAATCTTTTCATTATTAATCCTAACATTTTAATTATCAAAACATCATAATTTTCCCCAATCCCAGACCATATTGTATGAACCTTAACATTAAAATATAAATATTAAATTTTAAAATTCTAAACTAATTATATAAACTCTAAACTAAATATAAATTCTAAGTACCCATAACTAAGACTTAGGCTTAGCATTTGGTACTATCTGAATGTTTTTATTTAAATTAAATCTAAAAAATTAGAGTAAAAAAATAGAAGAAAATTGTCTCCACCTGCGGACAACTCGGGAGATAAATGTGCGCACCATAGCTCCAAATTATTGGGCCGAATCCGAGAGGGACATAAAGAAGCCTAGGAATAAAGATTGTTTGAACATTGAAAAGACAAAAAAAAAAAAAGATTGTTTGGACAGGTTGGGTTAGGCTATATTTTATGCATTGGGCTGGCATTATTTTATTTTATTTTCTTTAATTTCCTTGCTATTTTTTAAGTCTTTAAGCCAAAGTCTTGGTGAGCAAGACTATTGTCAACTTCGTCATCGAGTCTCAAGTAATTTTGGAGACCAAGTTCCATGCCACTTATGTAAGGCCAATGTCCAGAACAACTTGCATTCTATAAAAATTTTACTTCTTATCAAAGAATTCTCCCTTCATTTTCTAGTAGATTCCAAGGTTAATTAAACCTAAATGTGTTCTAGATTTGTTATTTTTGTTTCACCCTATGTCAATAATTGGGTCCTTCAATTATTATTAGAAAAATAATGTTGCTATAGAAATATTATGTAAATGATTCTTTACGTACCATCCCCAATCAAAATCACGAGCTCTTTGGGCAGCTCTCTTACTTGCAATTGTATCAAATTTTGGCACATACCAATTACAATTCACTGTAACCCCAATTGTTCCATATTGCACGGCCTGAGTAAAATGAAATTGAAATTAGTATGTCTATATTTGTAAGAATTACTAGGAGAAAAGTGTCTACTAACCTGATATTTTTCTTTATACAATTGTGCAGCGGTTGCATGAGAAAGAATCAAGTGATGCATCACTATATAAGGCTCAGTTGCTGAATTTCCCTCTGAGCAATTCCCTATATAGATAGAACATCTACCCGGTGCGGCATCGCCCAGTGCATAACCTTCCTTGGCAAACATATTTGGCTCATTTAGGGTTGCCCATTGTTTCACTCTATCGCCAAATTCTTGGAAGCAGAGGTTGGCATAATCCCGAAAGTCGTCCCTAATAAAAAAATTTATTTGAAATTATCAATGATTAATTTATAAGTCCAATTAATTAATGAGATCGACACCTAAATTAATTTATAATTTATTAGTGTAATATTTGTCATTAATGACTTAAATGACTTAGTATTAATATCTTTTCAATAAAAATAAAAAGTTTTTACACCAATCATACAATATTTGGATGAGTGAATGACAGAATATATAGCAAAGAGTTGCTTAATGAATTAAAAAAAAAAAAGAAAAAAGAAAAAAAAGGAGGCTAGTGTGATATTAACTTACACAATTTTCGGGCTGAGGAATCCCCCATACTCATCCTCGAGTGCTTGAGGAGGATCCCAATGGAACAAAGTAACAAAGGGTTGTATTCCTGTTTGAAAATTGGAATAGTGCAAAAAATTAAAAAAATTAGTGGAAGTTAACTAGTAAATTTGGTAATTGAGATATATATAAGAATTGAAAAAGAGAATGAAGTTTAACCATTTGATAGGAGTAAGTCAATGAGATGATTGTAGAAATTGATTCCTTTTTGATTTATCCCGCCGCTGATTTTACCCACTATTTAAGTTCCAAAAAGATGACAAGTTAGTTTCAAGTTCACACTAATAAATTAAAGAAACAACATTAAGCATGGGTATGGTTTGTGGAAAGTAATTTTTAAAAATTTTTAAAAAATATTATGTTGATTGACATATTTTGAAAATCTTATTTGTTAAATATTTGTCATTGTTTGGTTCACTTTTGCGTTATGTCTTAAAGCTGCTTCAAATCATGGGTCGCACAAGCCACCTTAATTAGAGCCTGAGTAACTCTTTGAGCCACCTTAGAGCGACCACATTCATAGTTACCTAAAATCTGGGTGACGTTTAAAGCTGCTTCATACTTCTTCAAGTCACAACTAAAACTATTTTGGATCCCTAATCAACCAAAGTTGTAAATTGTCCCAAACCTTGAGTCACACCTCAATCCCTCGAACCTCAAGTCAGCCTGAGTTGCCTTGGAGCCCAAGTTAAGGCTCAAGACACCTCCAACCTTAAGTCATGACTTGAGTTGCCCAAACCTTGGTCAAGCCTTGAGCAGCCACATACCTCAGATTATGCTTGAGATATCACAAAGCTTGTGTCACGATATAAGCCACCTAGACCCCAGGGCTTGTCTCAATGTTGTCCTAAATCCCGTCACTCAGACAATGGTGAGAAAGAATTTTAACGGTTAAAATGAAATCTTGACAAAAAAATGATGCATTTCTATGTCAATCAAAAGTCAATAAAAGAAAAAAAAAAATAAAACTGATGATATTATAGGACAAACTAATAGTTCTTGTTAACGTAGTATAAATGTCATTAATTGAAGGACAAAATGAACATAAATTGTATTTAGTAGAAGAATACTAATGAACAAAAAAAAGAAAAAAGAAAAAAGAAAAATAATATTAGTAAACAAACATTTTGTGAAAGAATGATATTGATTATTATTCACTCAATTAATCTTTATTTTTGTTCACCACCCTCATCATCACCGAATGTAAATTTAAATAATAAAAAAGCTAAAAAAATAACTAAAATGGTATGAAATAATTAAGGATGAAATTAATAATAATAATAATAACTTAGTAGACCTAATTAATCTTTCAAAAAAAGTTTAGGGGCGCTTGTGCCACCTCACGGCCCCTCTGGCTCTGCCTATGGACCCTAGAGCGACTTGGTGAGCGACCCTCACTCCATGGCAGCTGGAGGCGTCACTTAGAATAGAAGCAGCTCAAGGGTGGCTTAATTATGGTACGACTGGAGACGAGGGTGGCTCAAATCAAGTCCCTTAATTGGCAGGACCCGAGGGCCGGGGTTACTCATAGCATGAACCAATGTTAATTAGGGGTGGCTCGCATATGTGAACAACAGTTGGGGTAGCTCAAAGCGTTACACAAGATCTATAGCAGCTTTAGAGGAACTTGGAGTCCAAGCTTTTCTTTTATTCATTTTTCATTGAACAAAAATATTTTTCCATTATCATATTCTCTTCTATATGCCAAATATCAAAACAAAAAGTATACTTTTCTAAAAAATTATTTTGTGCTAACGAAACTATCCTAATGCTGTTAATTTCACCAAAATATTTTCATAAAATTGTTGCTTTTGAGATGCAATCTTACGAGGTAAAATTCTAGACCAAGAGATGGAGAATCTGAAAAAGTCCAAACCAACTTCTTTCATACGAGCAATGTCTTCCTGTCAAATTAATTCTTCAGCATGCTGTAGTTAATTTTAAAAATGAATAAAAAGAGAAGACTAATTAAAGAATTATTCACAAAACCTTCAATAAATAATAGAACTCATCTGCTACATCTCCATTGCTTCCGTCTGTAATTTTCTCTGCCATCAAATGAAAATATAGCATGTTACTTTTTTTTATCTTATTTTTGAGGTGTTAATTATTATGCTTAGGTATTATAGCAGTTCGACTTAATTTAAAACCTTTAATATAATCTTGGCCGCCATCAAAATTTTAATTGTGTAAATTAAGGCGCCAGCAAGGTTGAGTTACCCTGCCCACGAGGTGTGGTGCAATAGAAAAAATTCGACACATTAATTACTTAAGAGATGGGCTATGCCTTGGGATGGGCCTAGTGCCCAGATTTTGATAAAGTTTGTGTATGTTAAAAAATGTCTGTCTGCCTCTTAAAATTCGTAGATTATAAAAATAAAAAATAAAAATGATATCATTACAAT